ACCAAACAAAAGGACCCCAGCACCGGGAGTGGGGAGGAGGCCGGCAGCTCTGATCACATGCTGGATCTTCAGTGCCAAGTGACCACGGCTTGTGTCTATTTGGCTTGTAAACATTTGGCCTACATCAGCTGCCAGTGAAGGTTTCATAACAACAAAGGGTATCCCAATTATTGAAGGGCTCTTGTGAAATTCTTGAAATAAAATATTTAAACTCACTTTCATCTTAAAAAAAAAATACCGTGGTATCTTATGAGACAGCCTGTCGAGATATCAAGCAAATGACAACAGGTCATCACTCTTCCTGAATCTGACAGAAACCCATGGCTTTAAAAAAAAAAATCATAAAGAAATGGGTTTGATGTTGAAAACAGAAAAGCAGACTCATGACCACTTTGAACCTAGCAAGCCCAAATCATTGGAAAAGCATTAATATTTGGCAAAATAATTTGGCAGGTGTTCAAGTGCTGCGGGGGAACTGAGCTGGGAACTATAACTGTGCTCCAGGTGGGGAAAAATAAAACAAAACCTAGAAATGTTTTGTTAAAGATTGAATTACCAAATTAGAGGAAGGAAAGAAATGCAGCTGCCGGGACAGATTTGAGTTTCAGTTAAGGATCTGAGCCCAGTATCAGCAATTCTCATTAAAAACAAGAATTCTCAGCAGCTGAGAAAGAACACGAGGGACCATGAGAAGGGGCCAAGAAAGGCAATGAAAGGTGGGGACACTGAGGAGGCTGTGCCTCGCAGGGGCCTGAGCACTGCATGACTCCAGGCTGGCCCAAGGAGCGGGGGGGGGGGCTCCCCTCATCACTCCTGACATAGGAGCAGGCAGCCCTAAAGATAGAGGGGTTCAGGGCTCCAGGAGGGAGCTGCCTGCCATCCAGAAAGTGGCCTGGACACACCTGCAGGAGAGGATGGCTTCCACTGGTTTGCCAGGTGTGTTGATGGCCACTTTGGCCAGGTCCCCAGCTGCAGCCAATGAGACTCCCCTCAAGGTGGCTGGGGCGAGGGCTGCACTCAGAGCCAGACCTGGTCTGCTCCAGGTCTGCACTGGGTGGTGTGCCAAGTCCTCCAGTGGTGAGCTCCCCTGCAGCCCCTCTGAGGCCGAGTCTCCCCAGAGTCACACACTATTAGCCACACAAGCCTGACTGGAGCCCGGCTCCCTCACTGACCCATACCTCTTGCTGCCACATTTCTTTGGCACTAGTTGAGCAGAAATCCAGCCAAGGGTGGAGCTGGAGGCTTCGGCACTTTGATGAGGTGCATGAACGCACAGAGATGAAGCTCTTTGACCTGTCAGAGGCAGCTTTGTAAGGGCACGGGAGGGGAAAAGAAACAAAAGCAAGTTTAGACTCAGAGGGAAATATAATCTGTGATTATAAATATTTCATGAGCAAAGAAAGCAGCACTGGCTGAGAGACTGAGGTGGGGAAGTGGAGAGCAAATTAGATCCCGGTTTGCAAAGTGATAGGGCAGCTGGAAAAGCAGCAAAGCCAAGGCTATTCTGGGCTGTTATGCTTCGAGGGCCTGCGTCACAGACACAGCCCGGGCTCCGGTCACCCAGCTTTGTGGAAACCACAGCCTTCCAGGGGTCAGCACAGAGCACCTTGGGAAAGTGTCTGTGCTCATGTAAACCAGAGAAGGAGACTCCGAGGATGTCTGAGCGATCTGAGCAAAGCTCAGCAGCAGAGCAGCAGGCGGGGTCTGCAGCAAAGCCGTCAGCACCCTGCACACTCACGAAAGGATCAACACCCTTTCTGCTGACCAGGGTGGAGGAAGAAGGGAGCCCAACCCCCGCAAGCAAGCGAGCGGCTGGAGTTTTCTCCAGCCAAGCTGCCCTGGTGAGAGCAGAGGTCCACTCCTGAGCAGGTGGTGGCAGACTGAGAATAATCCTGCCTTTCCTTTACCTTATAGTGGGGTTCTTCCCCATTCAGCCTTTGAAACAGCCCAGAAAGCAGAGAAGTTTTTTTTTAAAAGATTTATTTATTTATTTATTTATTTATACAAGAACTAGGGTACAGGCCAGAGGTGCAGGGGTGAGAGGATTCACCAAAGACAGAGCAGAACAGCAGACTGACTGAAATACACTGCTGAGGGGAGAGGCAGACGAGACAGGAGAGGTCTGCTGCGCTATGTGAGTCACTTCCCTGGCCAGGGATGGAACTGGTGCTGCAGTGGCTTCATAGTGCCGTGCCGTAACCCCTTGTGCCACCAGGGAGGCCCAGCAGAGAAACTGTTAAGTTTGCTAAGCAGCAGCTGCTGCAGCTGGAGACCCAAGCACCGCCAGCAAAGCAGGTCTCCATTTGGCCGTGATTCTACTTCTTTAGCCACCATCAGCCACCACAGCAGGACATGTCATTTTCTGATTCTGTTGGCCCTCCCAGAGAGCCAGATGGAGGGATACTAGGTCCTAAAATACTTAGAGGTACCTTGAACCAAGCCTAGGCAGGGGAATCCCATAGAGGGGTGTAGCCCACAAGGGAAATATGGAAAACTAAGGAGCTCCACTGCCTTACAGGCAAGGCTCGGTGGGCAACACGCTGCAAGGTGTGCCCGCTGAGCTTGGGGAATAGTCAGAGTGTTTTATCTTCTAGAATCTTAGCTGGCGAGAATCAACTCAAGATGGAGAGAATTCAACAACTGCAAGTGAGGCACCCTAACAGCCTCTGGCTTTGAAACCGGGCTTACCACCCAGTAGTTGTAGGAACTTGAGAAACAGCATGACCTCTGTAACTCAGGGTCCTCGGCTAAGAAACGGGAAGAATGCCTGCCAGACCCAGAACTGCCAGGCATACGTGTATGTACACGCTTTCTAAAGAGACACTAAGTTCTATTCCCATTTAAGAAGAGATTGTTGCTATCCAGCTACCTATTTGACTTCTTTGGATGTCTCAGAGGCACCTGTTCAGATACCACCATCCACTGCCCTTCTTCCCCCATCCTTGGGCCTCTCCTAGAGCACCCCCGCTAAGTGTTCAGTAGGACAACCATCCAGGCATAGAAGCCAGAAACCCAGGGTCCACTCTTGGCCCTTCCCCACCATTTTAATGCCGCACTAAGCCCTCACCTGTGCCTCGGGAAGGCCAGACTCCGTCACCCCTGCCCGCGTCACCCTCTTGCAGAGTCTACTCATCTACTCTGGCCTCTCCATTGTGCACATCTAACTACATCTCCCCTCCCAGCACCCCCACCTCACAGGCTACCCTCTAACAACAGCCCAATGCACTAGGAATAAAGCCTCTTCCTGGGGCTCAAGGCCGGCAAAGTGCAACACTGCTCCAGCCTCCCCCTACACTATGCTCCCGTGTGTTCTCCCTGCTCCACACATTGGGCTTTTGAGTCCTAGTACTCACCCATTCCCTCCCGCCACAGGGGTTTTGTACCTGTTCTTCCCCCTGCTTGGAACATTCCCCCCTCCTCTCACATAGCTAATGCCTGCTCACTTACCGTTACTCAGGTACCAAGTACACTAGAGTGTACCACTCACTGTTTACAGATGTATACACTGATGTGACTCCCATCCAGACCTGGACTTAGAGCATTTCCCATGGGGGTGCCCTTTGGCCCCTTTCCAGTCGCGCTCCTCCCCACCCCGCCACCCCATCTGGCCTTCCCTCAGCACCTGCGCACCCTCTGGAATGTGCCAAATGCAGGCCCTTCTCGGGGAAGCTGCCTCCAAGCCCACTCCAGTCTCATCCCAAGTCTAGCCCCTCGGTCACAGGCACGGTGTACTTGGTGATTTGCACATGTGAGTAATTGATTTGTGGCAATTTCCCGGTTCCTGACACTGTAGATTCCCCGAGGGCAGAGGCTGTGCCTGCCCGCTGCCCAGTGCTGGCACATGCACAGGACTGATAACTGAGAACGGCTATTACCTAGCAAGTGCTTATTACTGTAGGCACTTACAGGTACTAACTCATGAATCCCCACACCGGCCCTATCAAGTCAGTACTATTATTAGATCCCCATTTTACAAGGGAAGACACTGAGGGACAGAGAAGTTCCCCAAGTCATTAAGTGGTGAGCGGTGGAGTGAGGACTCAAACCCAGGCCTTACGGCCGCAGAGCCTCATTTCTTCATCTTTACGCCACTCTGCCTCTCACCAGTCACTGGAATATTTATGAGTGGGCGCCAGGGATATTTTTAATGAATGAATTTATAAATGAGTTGATGATATTCCACTAAAAGAACTAAAGGAGTCCCAAATGTCCCCCAAACCAACAAATAAATGGAAGACAATTTGCCATTGAATTACCTGCACATGACCGAGATGAAGTCACCAACAAAATCCAAAGCAGTCCATTTCCCCAGGGGCCAGGGAGGTTGCTTTCTGCTACTGGGCACTCTGGTTCCCAGCAGAGCACCTTCAGTGGAGGTGGGCTTACTCTCTGAGTTCTAAAGAAGCTTGAAAGTAGTATTCACTACATGAAACATGTTCACTCATGAAACAAGTCCCTCTGCTCTTTCCCACTACCTCCGTAATCTTCACAACCATTTAACATCACACGCTCTCTGACACAGTAAGGGTACTTTGGGTGGCAAAAATAAAAAAATTTTGCCTGGGTAGGAATGTAGATTCTGAGCCACCCAGATGGCACAAGAAGTTAAAGTGTATCACTATCCATAGCCACTACAGCACAAGTTCGATCCCCCGCCAGGGAACTAACCCACACATGGTGCAGACCTCTCCTCTCTTACCTGCTTCTCCCCTCAGCAGTATATTTCAGTCAATTTGCCTGTTCTGCTCCCCACTCTGTCTCTGAGAATCCTCTCCCATCCCAGTTCTTGTATGCATAGATAAATGTTAAAAAAAAATAAACAAGAAAGTACAAATTCGACTGCACATTTATAAACTGGCATGTGGTTTGTACCTCACTATTCCTGGGCTTCATCATCCTGACGAACACATAGGCTGCTCCACGCAGACGGGTTGGCTACCTTTTACGCACTTCAGTGTCATTTACCTCATAACCAATCTCAGAAAGCTCAGGAAGAAAACATACATAAAAACTTGTTTATTTGCTCCTGGGACACTGTTTCCAGCCACGAGGCCCCATACTCCCTCCCTCTCAGCAAAGGTCCAGTTCTCCAAACAGCTCCGTCTGTGAGCCCCACTGCAGCCTCAGGTGGGTCCCACTCATACAAAGTTCTGTGCAATGGCCAGGACCTTGGAAAACTCGCCTTCCTTCCGACGTAGGCTGCTGGGGATGGGTATCTTAATTCGGGTTCCCACAGGGTTCCCATTGTCCTCAATGAGGACCACATTGTTGGAGTCAAACCTGGGAGTCATCCGGGGGCCAGGCATGCGATGCCCCACGATGAGAGCCTTTTTCTTCTGTCCCTTGATGGCCAGCAGGATCCGGTCGCCCACCTTGCCCACCCCACTCTTGTTATAGACATGGATGCAACGAGGCGGACGATGGTAGGGGGTGTTCCCCAGGGCACTGTTGTCCACCACACGCACCCGCGTCATCTTCTGAATGGCACCAAGGCTCCCAGTGGTGCTGATGGAAGAAAAAAGAATCTGACATCTGCATCTCCCTAGCCAGAGTGCAGACAGGAGGGCCAAGCTGGGGAAAGAGCACCTATCAGCAACAAGACGGGGAGCCAAGCTCAACCCAGGGCTGACAATGAGTCAGGTGCTCATGAATACGCCTGTGCTCAGGAGCTTCCTTACGGTCCATGGCCTCAAACGCTTCTGCTGCCACGTCAAGAACTCAAACTTGGAGGGGTTTTAGAAGAACCCAAGCTTCTGTTACAACGAGCTTTGTGGCTACTTTAACTGAAAGTATTTGGTTTCCAAAAATACCTTGAGGATTAAGGGAACATATTATAGGCTGAACCTTACCTGCTGCCTAGCCTGCAAAACCTGCTCCCCCAGAACACCCTGACTCCCTAATGTTCTCATCTGTCTGTTGCTGGGCAGAAGATATGAGTAAGGGTTTGCTAAGGGAGTCCTTTAACAGAACGCAGCAGAAACTGGAAATGAGGTAATAATGTTTTGTTTCAGTGTACTTTTTCAAGCTAGAAGGCAATTTTTTTTTTTAAAGAGTACTTATTAAAGGCAGATAAGCTATTACTAAGCAATCTGATAAAGTGAGGTTTCTCTTTTCCTGGTGCTAGCACCTTCAATGCTAGTGTTCTCCAGAGTAACCCTACATCCTCTTCTCTCATTCCACAAACTTCCTCTGGGCAATTCTATCTATTCCCACTATTTCCAAAGAGTAAATTCCATCTATCCAATATTCTAGTTCTCTCTCTCCACTCTAAACACCCCGCAGATGGTCACACAGACACTGCAAGCTCAGAAGGTCCCACACTAAGCTCACTGCCTTCCACTGTGCCTTTCCACCCACATAAAGGCTTCTCCAGGAACCCTAGCTCCCAAGCCATAAACCTCTTTCCCTCAATATCCGCTGGCTGCCATGACTGATATACCTCTGAAGCACTCTGTCCTTTGCCTCTGTCCCACCAACACTTGCTTAATTTGGAGGCCCACTATCTCATACCAAGACTGTAGTAGTGTCCTGACTGGCTCCCAGTACACTTGGCTCTGCTGGTCAAGAGTTCACTTTGCAGTATAAAGCTGAGGCCACGCCCTTGCTTGGATGTTCAAAGTTCTCCACCGTACTAACAACAATCTGGCCCTGGCCCTGAATTCCCTGTCTTCTGAGTTCCATCATCTCCTGCCATCACATACCCACTCTGTCCCAGCAGAGAGAAACTGCTGGAGCTCTCCAAGCATGCCACAGATCCCACATGCCCTCCCAAGGCCTGGACGGCGCCTGCTCTACTTCCCTTCTGGGAAGGCCGCTCTACTCTCCTCCTCCTCCATCTCCACTAGCAGCTCCTGTCTCAGGCCTTCCAAAGTGCCATACAAACCTCTATTATTATACTTGTCACATTTCCTCAGAGCTATTTGTTTCCAACTTTGCTCCACTGGCCAACTGTGAGAACTCTTTTTGGGCAGAGAGCAACTCTTATTTGTCTCTCTCTGACCAACCCCAGGCACCATGCTCAATAAATGGCTGTGGAATGAGTACACAAACAGGGACAGGGGCCATGCTTGCCAACAGATATGTAACCCCTCTTCCCTATCCAGTCAAGCACCTAAAGGGACAGGAGGTTCTCATACTTCTATCATGCTTAGTTTTTGGTTAATAAGCATGTGTTTCTTTAAGACTCCATTTTTAGTTGTGGGGATTGTAACACTCAACTCTCAATAACTGATAAACAAGTTGACTGAAAAGTGTTAAGGACACAGAATAGGGATCAACAAATTACTGCCTTTGGTACAAATTAGCTCACCATGGGGCAAATCCAACCACACTCACTTCTTATCACTGCTGTAGATTTGAATAGCAGTGACAGAAAATGTATGGCCACAAACATGAAAATATTCACTATGTGGCTCTTTATGGAAGCAGTTTATGTACCGCTGGACACCTGACATAAAAGATGACAGCACTGTCAATCAGTTGGCCATTACTGAAACTTACATTACACTCATGGGACAGAAACACATACATTCTTTTGTTCTTTTAAAAATATTCCATTGGGCCCTCCCTGGTGGCGCAGCGGGTTGAAGCGCAGCACTGAGAGTCTGAGGCCACTTCCGCATGAGTTCGATTCCCGCCTGCCGCCTGCCCCGGAGGAGACCACATGGCGAGCCAGACCTCTCCTGGCCCGCCCGCTGCTTCCCTCAGCAGTGTACTTCGTTGATCTGCCTGTTCTGCTCCCCACTCTGTCTCTGGTGAAGCCTCTCACCGCCCCTGAGCCTCTGGCCTGTACCCCAGTTCTGTATGAATAAATAAATAAATCTTTAAAAAAAAAAAAAAAAATATTCCATTGGCCCTCCCTAGTGGCACAGTGGGTTAAAGCACACTAAGAAGCTAAAGGCGCTGCAGCATGAGTCCAATCCCCGCCCCGGAGGAGATCTACCTCACGCAACAGACCTCTCCCAACCCGCCCGCTGCTCCCCTCAGCAGTGTACTTCAGTCAATCTACCTCTTCTGCTCCCCACTCTGTCTCTGGTGAATCCTCTCACCTGTGGCCGGTACCCCAGCTCTGTATGCATAAATAAATCTCTAAAAATAAATAAATAAAATATTCCATTTCTGGGCCTCCCCAGTGATGCAGGGGTTACAGTCTCGACACTATCAAGCTATCACCAGCCACCATGGCCTGAATACAATCCCTGGCCAGGGAGCTGACCCACATGGCACAGCAGACCTCTCCTGTCTCGTCTGCTGCTCCCTTCAGCAGTGTCTTTCAGTAGATCCACCTGTTCTGCTCTCCACTTTGTTTCTGGTGAATCTTCTCATCCTTCATACCTCTGGCCTATATGCCAGTTCCTATGTACATAAACAAAATAAATCTTTTTTTTTAAAGATTTATTTATTTATGCATACAGAACTGGGATACAGGCCAGAAGTGCAGGGACCGTAAAAGGATTCACCAGAGACAGAGTGGGGAGCAGAACAGGCCTACTGAAGAAGTACACTGAGGGGGAGTAGCGGGTAGGTCAGGAGAGGTCTGCTGCGCCATGTGGTCACCTCTGGGGCGGGGTACAAACTCATTCTAGAGTGGCTTTAGCTTCTTAGTGCTGTGCTTTAACCTGCTGAGCCACCAGCGAGGGCCCATTTTTATAAGAGAAGGAATTAATATGCTTGGTGAGTGATGTGTCTGAGATGTCAGGTTCACCGTAACTGGATGAAGCTTGAAAGCTCTATCTCCTACGTGTGCCATTCCCCACCTCACCTCCACAGCAGCGCCACCTGCTTATCTGTCCCCCTCAGCTGACTGATCAAACCCCAGTTCAATGGGATTCTTTTAGTTGTCCCTGACCCTGAGGCCCCCCTCCTGAGTTTCCACTTCCACTCTAGCCTCCATTACGCCCAGCCCTGATGGGGGAAGCCTACTCAACTACAAGGCTTCAAGAACTTAATAAGAAAAGTTACCTGAAACAGCACTGACTGAAGATTCTGCTTGCATGTGTGAAGGGGCCCAAGAGTCCAGGAGTGTACGCCATGGGATCCCAAGATAGCAAATCCTGCAGGAAAAAAGGGGGCCAGGGGAAGAGAATTTATTTCTAAGTGTCCTTATACAGAGCCAGTTTTGTTTTTTTAAAAAAAGACTGTTGGGAACTTGTGTGGGAGATGGTACTTCTAACTCAAGATCATTAGTCACTAAATATAAATCTTGGTGGTTAAAAGCTACGAAGATGATCAGATGGAATTCCAGCTACGATTCTGCTGATTCATATTCTAACTGGGGTCAGGGAGCTGGCATGGCCCGCAACCGTCCTTGCTGTAAGTAAAGCAACAGCGCAGAGAATGCCTTCATTGCCACACCTCTTCCACAGGCAGGAAGAGAGCATGACTCCTCTGGTACACACCTAGCCAGCACCATTTCCCAAGTCCTCTGTAGAGGAAAACCTGCGCACTAGCACCCTTGTTGACATGCACATGCTTTCTGAAACCAGGGTTTACACGCCCCAAGTGCAGATTATCTGAGCAACTGCCCAGCTGTCTGCTAGCATGTCACCTTTCCTCTAAATGCAAAAGCTAGTGCACCTGTAATGCCCAAGGCTCGCAAAGAGAGACAAAGGGTGTGCTCACCAAGTCGCAGATCAGGGTCTCTATCTGGGTCAGTATCCCAAACAGCGCTCAGGATGGTGAAACTGCCCACCCACACTACTGCTGAAAGCTGAGGTAAGGACAGCAAGCCGGAGATTAAAAAAAAAAAAAAAATACCAGCCTAAAACTCCTGACTGTAGCTCGCAGACCTCAACTCATGAATCCCACACTGAAAAATACAGCAGTCCCCTGTCTCCTGCAACACCAGGGCATCATTTAGGGGCATGTTTATGAAAAGCCCACAGCCAGCTGGTTCGTCCCACGCCTGTTCTCCCAAGTGTTTGGCTGCTGAGGGCCTCATTAAGGGCTGTGCTAAGGAAGGCCCCTACCACTGTAGTATTTACACACAGCTTTGCCTTGCCGTAAGTTCAAAGCACCTCAGATAAGATTTTATTTAATAAGGGTAGGGCAAAAATCCACTATTTACCTCCACAGGAATAGCTAGACACTCCACAAATGCTTATGAACTACCAGACAGCTTAAACTGCAAGTTCACTCTCCAGTTTTCCTCCAGACAACCCAGGAAGCATTGGGCAATAAATAATAAAAATCAGAAGTTAGGCCCTCCCTGGTGACACAACGGGTTAAAGAGAACAGCTGTGAAGCTATCCACAGCCCCTGCAACTCAAGTTCGATCCCCAGCCAGGGAGCTGACCCACATGGCACAGCAGACCTCTCCTGATCTGCCTACTGCTCCCCTCAGCAGTGTACTGCATTTGATCTGCCCATTCTGCTCTCCACTGTCTCTGGTGAATCCTCTCATCCCTGCACCTCTGTCCTATACCCCAGTTCTTATATGAAAAGAGAGACAGAGAACATTAAACACAAAAGAAGGCAGCTAAGTTACAGAATGATTAACATCTTCTGACATATAGAAATGAAGGCTATGGGATGAGAAGAGCTTTACCTTTACAGCTAGGTGATCCTGGACAAGTAACTATGAGCTTCAGCTCCCCCATTTGTACCTGGGTTTCCGGCAGCACCCCTTAGCTATCTTCATCAGCATCTAGTTGCATTTCAACTCACAGATTAGGAAACTGAGATACAAAGATAAAGTGACTTGAGTAAAGTCCTACTAATAGCCAAGGGCAGACCACACCAGCAGTGGTCCTGGCTTCAATCTTAGACTCCTTAGTACACCCTACAGCCTCACTCTAGTATACAGAGCTGAGGATGAGAAGCAACTATAAAGGCTGCTTTCTAGTTTCCATAGATGAGCATTTACTGAGGAGTTATAATGTGTCTGGCACTGGGCTAAGTGTTTTCACGTCACCATCTCATTTAAACCTCACAAAAACTCTGCTATGGACACAATTATCACCCCTTTTTCATACACAAGAGGAAATGAGGCCCAGAGAGGTAATTTGCTAAAGGTCACAAAGCTAGGAATTTCAAAACTGAAATTTGAACCTCAGTAGTAAGGTTCCTAGACCCATACTCTTACTCAACAGTTAACATGGCTAACTTTAATTTAAATATTAGTATTTTTCCCCTCCTTGTTCCATCAAGTGTACTGACATTAGGACTCTCCCTGGTGGCGCAACAGGTCAGGATGCAGCACTGTAAGCTGGCCACAGCCACTTTAGTACCAGTTCGATTCCCAGCCCTGGAAGTGACCCACATGGCGTGGCAGACCTCTCCTGTCCCGCCTGCTGCTCCCCTCAGCAGTGTACTTTGTTGATCTGCCTGTTCTGCTTCCCACTCTATCTCAGACGAATCCTTTCACCACCCCTGCACCTCTGGCCTATACCGCAGTTCTGTATGCATAAATAAATAAATGTTAAAAAGAGAAAGAGAAAGAATACTGACAGCAAAGGGACATTTTACTTATCCCCAACTCAATTCTTGCTGAATCAGCTGAACTGTAGACAAACACCAGGTGAAAACTATTCACTTCAATGCAGTTTAAGTTTTGATGACAATGTATAGTGTAGGTGGCAAGGAGAACTCCATACTCTGAGCAGTAACTAAAAATGGGCTTAAAAAAAAAAAAAGCAGAGCTCTAAAAAAGCACTCCTTCTGGTCCAGGCTGCCGTTACCAATCACAGACAAGCTTTCCCATCTGACGCTAGTGGGCCCTTGCTCTCACTCCCTGGGAAAAAAAGAGGCTCCCCAGCTCTTCCACAGACGCGTCCGGATGAGCCCAACACCACCCACACTCCCTCTCCAGAGAACTGCGACACCCTGCCTCTCGGCACCACACTGCTTCCTCATAGCACTTACGTTAGTCTGAGAACTATAACTGCACAAGGGCCTGGGGCTTCCCAGAACTGCCTAGACTTGGGTATAGCGAGACCCACCTCTTCAAAATCTGCAAGCAGTCTGCCCAAACCCAAGGGTGCCTGGCTCACAAGCCACCCAGCAACCAAAATGCCATCTCTGCCCGCCAACTCTGCCCCAGCTCCTAACATCTCCTGCAAGGCTAGTGTAAAAACTGCAGCATCAATTGCTACCCCTCCGGCACACTGAGGACATGTGGATAGCTGGTGCCGGGGAACTCTCATTCCTCCAACTTTCACTACCCAAACTCAGACAATGAATAAACATGGAAACCTTTTTTAAGATAAGGCTGATATCCCTCAACATTCTACTTCTTATAGTTCAGACACCACAAAGATATTGTTAACGTGGCATATGAACTCACTGTAGGATCACTGCTCTCACATTTAAGCGTAAGTCTCCAGGGAGCACTTCCGTTTCCATAAGAAAAGGCCCAACTTAAACACTTTTCATCAGATCTTTGGTGGATCATGATAGTGACTCTTAGACCCAAAGGACCTCAGGCATCAAATGGATAGCAGTGAACATTCCTGTGAACCAGAAAGCCCAACGGAACCAAAGCAAGTCCCTCATTCTTTTACACACACACACACACACACACACACACACACACACTCCAGGGGTTCCTTCCTACTCCCACCCCAGCACGCCCTGATAAATGACTGCTGAACTGAGTGAGATCAATGAAGTAACAAAGTCAGACTCCCCACTCCAGGCTCCACACAGAGAGGGACATGCAAACCCTATAGAGCTCTTATCTGTGTATCAGGCACCAAAACATCCCATGCAAACATGCTTAAACCCTGGTGCGGGTTATGGGAAGATGTGTTAAAGATCCTGAAGTCATCTCCTGGCCCTGGTACCTACACTGTCTACTGCAGAAACACCTGATCCCATCACTAAATAAGTGGTTCAGATCAGGGAAGAGTAATAGAGGCAGCAGTTTACTTCAAAGCAACCTGAACTGACCTTGATGCTATTTCCCTGCATAATTCCACCGTGGACATAGGCCCTGATTCACTTCAAATCAGTCTGTATATATTTCTTTGTTTCACAAGTAATGTTATTCTGAGTCTTGTGTATGCACAGGAGACGGACCCCAGCGATACTTTCTCCTCCATATCACTCTGACTCAGAGTAGGCCATGTATTCAGAGGACTCCACTGCCAGAAACTGTTTTTCATGCCAGTTTCTGGTCAGCATTGAGTACTGCCCTCCAGGTTAAGAACATGAAATCTCCCTTAGAGAAAGGGAAAGGTACACCAAGGAGAGGAAGTGGGGAGAGAAATTACTTAAGTACAACCCAAGAATTGTGTTCATTTTCCATCCTGCTTTAAGATTTCGCTTCAGTTGTGCCAGAGAGGACTGTGGATTTCTGAGACACACAGGTGAGTTTTCAACCAGCACCACCAATCGGTCACACTGAAAGTACAGTACACTCCATAAGAGCAGGGACTGTTGAGTGCAGCACACTTAGGACCCACAACAGTGCCTGGCACACAAATGGAGCTCAGAGAGTAGCTGTTAAATGAATAAAATTAATCTGCAATCGCCATTCAACCTGTAGCTCCAGGTGGTATTTCTTATGCCCTTACTGGGGCCCCCAGTGACCAGGGCAGCCTCTGAGACACTGAGAGTTGGTTTTGTTTGGTTTGGCTTTTAGCTAATTTTAACATACAGACTGAGTTGGAAAGATCATTACTTGCTAAGGATAAGCAGTTATATAGTATCACAGATGGATACATAATTACACGTTGTTTCCTTTTTATAAATTATACCAGTTTTCATCTTTAGGTGCCCCACACATTACATTCAAGAGGAATGTGGCCTACAGAAGAGCTCAGCATAATTGCAAAGGAGTGTTTAAAAGAAATTCTGTTAGTATGAACTAGAAGAGGAAAAACACATCTAGCAATCAAATACAAGGCCCAACCATGAAAAAGACAAATTCCACCCAATAAACTTCCTTCTTCATTTATTAAAGCAAGGAAAACACAGGCTTGCAGTTTCCAGGAATCAAAACAAGTAAATCCCAAGACCCTCTGGTCTGTCATGAAGACACAATCCCCCATCTCTCGGCAGCTTTCTCCCCCAATCATTCTGGAGCAATACTGTTGCTTAAAAACCTCCTTACCGCTTTTTTTTTTTTTTTAATATGCTACAGAAGTATAACACAATTCTTTTAAGTACTTTCACACATATCACTTTCTTGGATGATTTCATCCCTGAACACCCAATGGAAACATAAAGACAAATAACAAAGAGCAACAATCTGTAGGGAATGAATATGCAAAGGATTTTTGAACCTTTCTGGAGGCTTGAAGGATCAAGTACCATTTTGCAGATGGAGAAATGAAGTCAGAAATGCTAAGCAACCTGTTGGCTTGTCCAGGGTTAGGAGGCTGTTTCTACTACACCCAGTACCATATATGCAGTTAAGGTGATACTTTAATAACCACTAATAAACTTTACAGAACAAACACACCCCACACCAATGTGGGGGAAGTACTCCTCTTGTCAGGCTGCCAGTCTTTTAAAACTCAGGAATTAGGACCTTCTTAAACGCCTAGGGATTGAGTCTCAGGGCCACCAACTCCCACTCCTCCCCCACCCACCCACCACCCACCCCCGGTCCCTAGTGGTGTATTTCAGCAGATCTGCTCTTTCTGTTCCCCACTATCCCTGGTAAATCTTCTCACTTCCACACCTCGGCCTACACCCCAGTTCTTCTATGCAAAAATAAATAAAATAAAAATCTTGGGGAAAAAAAAAACCACACAAACAAAACCTCAGGAATTAAAAAGCTGTCTTTTCAATAAACACCTGCACTACATCCAACACAGCTGAGAACTGAAGCAGATTCTGATTCTCCCGCCAAGTTGTGAGTTCTCACAGCATCACCATCAGTAGACAAAGTCTCCCTCAATAGCAAGATTGGCTGTCTCTGCCATGGTTACAGCAAAGACCCCATTTCTCAACTTAATTCACAAAAGAAAATGTTTCCAACTTAATTCACAAAAGAAAATGTATTTGTTTATTTACTTTAGGTTTCACCTTGTTACAAAAGCCACTTCCTCATGAGTTCGATCCAAGCTTGCCCTGGAGGAGATCCACATGACAGCAGACCTCTCCTGACCACCCTGACCCACCAGCTACTCCCCTCAGCAGTGTACTTGTCGATCTGCCTGTTTTACTCCCCACTCTGTCTCTGGTGAAGCTTCTCACCACCCCTGCACCTCTGGCCTGTACCCCAGTTCTGTATGCACAAATAAATAAATCTTAAAAAAAAAATCTGATGATTCTCAATTTATTCAAGGTGGGTTTTCAATCTGTAGAGTTAGTCTAGTCTAGCTTTGGTCCCTCAACTCTCTGGGTACAAACACCTGTAGTTCCAAGAATACATATGTAACAACCCTGGGGTGATCAAATTCTGAAGAACTGCACAAGGCAGTTAAATTCTACTTAATCTTTTTAGTACCGATCTGTGGCAAGCAGCCAAGTTTGTGGAGCTATGGGGTAGGCAAGATGGGAAATGGGTAAATGGAAAACCTAGAGGGTATCTAGGCTCAAAGTGAGCCTGCCACTGATGGAAGGCATAACCCCTTTACCCTGCAGTCCCCTCTCCTCCAGCTAAGTCTGGAACCCTGGAATACACTTCTCCAAGCCTCAATGACTGTCAAGCAGGGGTCATTGGGAAGTACAAGGCAGCAAGGAAAGGAAAGTGCTTTACCTTCACTTAAGTAAGGGATCATTTTAAAGTGGGAGTTCCAGGGCCTCCCTGGTAGGCTAGGGTTAAGTCTCACT